AAACTCATTTAGCTTTTTCCAAGGCCCATATTTACAAAATATAGACTTCTGGGAATCCATACTCTGATCTCATGAGAGCAATTCAATCATTTCGGATCTAACAGCATCCAAAATGTTCTGGTGTTGCTAGAGGAGGAGTACAGAGAGAAGTGCCTGGTTCTCACAGTGACGTTCAGTGGTAGTAAAGCTCTTCTAAAGGGATGTATGAGTGCTGAAGGTGTGAGGGAGTTGTACTTTATCAATGCTGTCATGAATTCACACACCACTGTGTGATGTAATACAAAAACCTGAAACTGAAGATGCTACCCTCTTCTCATTCCCTGCATTTTGGGCATTTTTTTAAACATGACAATGAAGATACTCATTCTCCTAGGGTGAAAATCCTTCAGTGGACATGTATTTCACTTAATCTTAACGCTCTTGAGCTGCTGTGAGAGATTCTGTAGAGACGAGCTGAGCAACACTCCCCATTAAAGACCAGGGCATTTAAGGAGGTCGTCCTCCAGGAGTTAAACAGCACAGATGTGAAAATTTGTCATGAAATTGTACACTCAGTGCCAAGAAGTGTCAGAGCAGCGTACTTAGAGTTATGGAGGACATATTAAGTTCTAGAATATTACACTTGGTTGAATTAAATCTAGGTTGTACTCAGTTCTGCAATCCTCCATTTAAACAAAAATTGGTTAGTTTCAAAAGTTTCTTATTTTACAGATATTAATGGCATGTATTTATGTTCTATGTTTTTATTAAGAATGTTTAATAAATTTCAATTTTGCCATCTTTCTATGAATTATATTAGTGATCATTAAGAAAATACATCTTTTATATTTAATCAGAGGGGGTGTACTCATTTATGCTGTACACTGTATATAATATATATATAATATAATATGGTGATGTGATATATACAGTTTATATATATATATATATAGATATATATATATCACATCACCATATTTTTACAAATAAATATTACATTAATCAGATGAATGAACAAACCCTTCTGTTAAAACCTTCAGTTTGGTGTATGTTAGTGCTACTGAAGTGGACATTTCTGGCTCAGTGCAGGAGAAAAAACTCATTTTGAGAATTTAAAAATATGTATTGTGATCTACAGATGCAAATATATAAAAAATAAACACTTAAATGTGTATTTTTAGTGTTTTCATTCAACATAGGCGGAGGGTGAACCAACTCCAGGGTACGGGTGAAAGTATCCTAATGTCAGCACATCATAAATCTTTTTAGGCAACTTCAAGTACCAGATATTTGGGTGTCATAAAATATTTTTATATATTAATAGCATATGACTGAATTTGTATCTAACATGATCACAATTTAATAAAAAACATTGTAATTTGCTAATTATAATGATTATATATTTACGGTTATAAAACAGCGAATAAATAATACACAGAAAGCAGGCAAAGAACATTTACATTATCAAAAAACATCATCTTTGACTTCAGTCTAACGCAAGTTTAAACACTCTAAAAAAGTTATAATCAATGAAGCTGTCTACACTGTAAAATGAATCTCTTTCACCATACGTACATCTGCACTTCGTTGTTTATTATGATAGAAGTCGTGAGAGTGCAGAATTTTGTCAGTGAGCACTTGCTGAATAAACTCCAGTGTTTTAGTGATGACTAATCAGATCGCCTTTGATTGGCCATTGCATTCATAAGGTGGAATTTGGTGGAATTTTTGCCCCAAGATCTTGTTAATTTCCGACACGTGGCCAGGGGAAGGCTAAGCCTTGTCCAGCCTTACACACACTCCACCTAAATGAAGAGCACTTATGTATGCAAAATAGCCCACAATCTCAAAATTTACCAGTGCCTGAAAAAAATATAGTTTGTTGTGCTACAAGCTACACATAATTTAAAGTAGGGATAGTTTGCCCAAAAATGAAAATGAGGCCTTCTGACATTCTCTCTTCTGCGGAACACAAATATATCTTTTTAGACTATATAATGAAAATCAGCTTCAAAAAAACATCGGACCCCACTCACTTTCACGTTATATGGCCAAAAAAGAGCCATATTTCAAAATAATTTTATTTTGTGTTCCACAGAAGAAAAAACGTCTTTATTTTTCAATTAGTTACTCACCAACACTGGTTTGTGCATGTGCAAATGATTTTTAAAAAATTCCATCACCTTATTCATCCTATTTCTGTTCTATATCACCATCATCATTATCCTCAGCTGAAGTGGCATGAATGTGACCACAACAATCTTGAGGATGAGAGACGAGAGCTGGAGTTGTCTGTATGCATTAGTGTGGGCTCTGGATAAATGTTTGATGAGGGGAATGCTGTCCCAGTTTATAGCGAGAGGGAAGTCTGCTGGAATTCCAGAAGAGTTTTGCTAAGACACAGACCTGAGGAAACAGCAGGGGCCTGATCACATCCCTCTCATCTGTTAATGCTGCTCTGAGACGCAGATAGATATCGTCTTAACGGTTTAAAGAAACTTTTTAAATCCTGATCAGGTTGTAAATGTGGTGTGGTGTATCCTGATGTAAATGAGGATAATTGCAGGATTTACCGTGGTGATTGAGATGGTGTGAGCTGTGGCATGTTTATGATTAATGAGGTAAAGTGGTTGGTCTGATTGTGGTGCCTGTGGGGCTGAGTTTGCCTTTACAGTGGCAGGTATGTGTGTAGATCAGTGCACTGTAATGTGAAAATGTAATTGCAGTTTTTAATTAGACCCTTATGAAAACAAAATGGCTTTATTGCATTTTATTAAGTTGTAATGTTAATGGTCACAAACAGGAATTGAGCATATTAAAAAAGACGTTTTATTAAAACATTATGGTGGGTTTTTATGTAATCCAAATTCTATTATTTCAGCCTTCTTGAGAACAAAATCAATTATTAATCTACAAATGTCTTACATTATTCATGCACAGTTCCATTCATTTCACCACCTGATTTTATAGTTCTGTGTTAAAAAGGCATTCTATTCTGTTCTATTCTATGCTATGCTATGCTATGCTATGCTATGTTATTCTATTCTATTCTATTCTATTCTATTCTATTAGCTGTTCATGGGGAAATATAGCAGCATTTCTCCAAACAGAATACAGTACAGTATAAGTGTATGCAAGTTATGAAAGCATGAAATTAATATAATTATGTAATGTAATTTAGTCTTTCTCTACTCGACTCTGTTTTACTCTGTTTCTTCTATTCTCTATTATACACTACTGTTTGACATTTTGGGCTAAGATTTTTTTTAAAGAATTTAATTTAATTTAATTTAATTTAATTTAATTATTAAAAAATCTTACTGGCCCCAAACTTTTGAACAATAATGTATATTTTGCTTTGAAAGGCTAAACTGTATTAAAACACTCAATTTTACTCAAGAAAGACCCCAAAATCAAGAGTAAATAAAAGTTTTATATTTAGATAAACAGGTTTTGTTTAAAGCCCCTTTCCTTTTTCGTCATGGTTGGTAATATACTAAAAAAAATGAATAGTCTATTATTTTTACTGCTTATTTCAGAAAGTTCTGACACTAAAAACAAATGACTGCTGAATATAAAAGGAATGTTTGAACTTGATTTTGTTGTGAGTTGTATTTACCTTAACTAGAGCTCTACGTGGTTTGAGCGTGTCAGCATGCTGGTGATTCTGCTGAACTGCGTCACGCTCGGCATGTTCCAGCCCTGCCAAGACCTGGAGTGCAACACTGACAGGTGCAGCATCCTGCAGGTAACACACACTTACATAACACTCGTGGATTGATTAACTAAAGACTTTAATCTCTGTGATTCCTTGATTTTACCTTGATTGACTTGGTTGGGGAAAAAGCATTTAAAGACAAAAGCATACAAGTAAAAATACAAACAGTGGCCTGAAGAATTAGACATTTAAGCCACATTTAAAATGTTCTATTGGATTAACAAAATAAAAACAAAATATCAAACTAAGTGGTATTTGCATAATTATAGCAGAAATGCACATTTCAAGCAAAAAATAAATAAAACATTAAGTCGTCAAGTTTATTTGTACAGCGCTTTTCACGATACAAATCATTGCAAAGCAACTTTACAGCAAATAAAGTTTCTACAATATTTAGTGGTGCTTTGGGTGTGAGTGATCTAATGTTTAGGAGCCCAAACTTTAAAAATTGTTTTTGTTCATTTATTTGACATTTTTGTGGTTTAATCACGATCAGATTTTTTCTAGATCCTGCATTACATTTATATTTTGACCTCACTATTCGGGGAATAGACACAGTCTTTATAGATTGGACAGCACAAGTACTTCTATCATTTAAGCGGGTAGAACACAAGTCATCAGGGCAGTTATTTGAGATTTGACTTACTAGTCATATGGTGCGTAGCGTCCTGGAGATGTTGTCCGACATGAGTTCCGCTCCGACTCTGCTGGGGTGCAGGCCATCAGCGCGAAAAAGCCTAGGATGTTTAGAATGCTGCAGTGATTATGTATTTTTGTATTTTATCTCACAGTTCTGAGTTTATATTTTGCAATTCTGAGTTTATATCTTACAATTATAATTATAAAAAAATAAAAACAACTTTTCTTTGTTTTCCCATGGTGGAAACAAGCTTCCATATCACCCTGGTTCCCTCGTCAAAAACCCAGTAGGATTTTTCCATTGGCATTTGGATTTTTGCCGAAATAAGCTTTGTGACCAACAAAAGTTTATGATTCTTTTATGTTTTGTTCATCATTATAATCTTCACAAATGAACACAACTTTTATAAATTTTGAAGCACAATCATCAGAAATAAAAAGTTAAATGTAGTCTATAAACGAACTACACCAAGGTCACATGACTTCAATATTAAGCTTTCAACAAATCTTTAAGTCTTTATTTAAAACATTTAAACATTTTCCTGAAAGTTTGAGTTGGAATTGTTTGCAAGAGCATGATTGTAAACACAATGAGGCTCTAAAAGCAGACTAGTGAGTAGAAGAGTTTACCTGTTCGGCGTGATGTTTAATGTCCCCAACAGACAGTCTCTGTAGTCCCATTTAGCTACTTGTTAGTTTGTGCCTTTTTCAACAAGTAAGCGCTTTTAAAAAATCGTAAGGGGGTATTACAGATGTGTTTTATGTCGTAGAATAAAATGTAAAAATAATGCTGAGCTTGTGTTACCCAGACCTGATTTCAAGCATTTAACCAAAAACCCATTCAAAAAACCCACTGACTTCAGGACGATGGAAGTGCTAAAATGTTAACTTGTTTCTGGGTTTTGGCCTACAAAATAGGTCATCCCTGCAGTGCTTTATGGTGTATTGTTCAAAATAAATACAAAGTGGTCAGTGGATTGACTACTAATATAAATCAGTTCTACAGAAGCATTGTACAGAAGCCTGAATGACAGGTTTTATTGATTTTTTTTTTCTTTTTTTTTTCTTTTTTTAATTATCTCTTACTTTCAATTAGCCAAGAAATCAAATACACTGCCGGACAATAACCAATAATTTGTATTCTATAATATTCCCCCCCCCCCCCTAAATTTTCCTAATGACAATTTTATGATTAGTTTAGTATAAACACTTTTTTCCATTTTTATCACAGAATAAGGCATAAAATATATTTTAATGGTTTCTGTACTGTAATAAATGAAATGTCAATTAGCACTGCATATGCCCTCCAGCTTCGAGTATGAAGGAAACATACCCTGCATTAGAGTGTTTAGTGTTCACACTTTAATGTTCACATCGCCTCATTTTGGATTCGAATAAAATGTCAGGTCATGCATAGATGCATAGATCTGGTCTCTTTGAATTTAAATCGGGGACGAATTTACATTGTATTATTACATTTTATTAAAAGTTACATTTTATTAAAATCCCCTATTTCTACGCCTATACGGGCACATCAGGTTCAATAGGGTAATTGGCATGTATTCAACAAATAAATACTCTAAATAACTATAACAATTTATTATACAAAACTATCAAAGTCCTATCAAGAAATGCTTCAGTACAGAGCAGCGGGAAACCATTTATGCACATCACAAAAAGTCAACTATCAGTTTTGACAGAAACCCACAAAGACACCATGAAGCATCAGCCACAGACTCAGAAAAATATGCATCTCTAATCTCTCCATAACAACTTGCAAATAACCTGTGGATTCTGCATAATAAAGGGAACGTTGCTAACAACAGGCGATTTGAAGTCTGACAGAGATTGTCTTGAAATTTATTGTTGAAGGCGATGAATTTTCTACACAAGCGCTGCTTTAAATGAGATCAATTAGGAGACGAAACCTGTGGTTGCTCTGCTAGGACACCTGTGGGAACTTGAGGGGAACCGACTTCAAACATCCGCTAATACCACCTTGGGATCAGTTAGTTGAAAGCAAATGATAAAAAATGGTTTCGAAAAGTGAACTTAGATCATTTATTTGCATATGCCACTTGCATAGATATTTTATGAAATTAATACATTTTTAGGTGTCCAAACGTCTCAAATATTTTCTGCATCCACTGAAGCATTTTCAGACATTTGCTGTTAAAAAAAATCCCAAAATAGTTACACAAACTAAATTAACCATAATATGAAAGTAGACCTTTCACCTAAGATAAAACTAAAGATATTTTGTTAGTCAATGTTCCATTTAGTTTACTTACTGCAGCTAAAGACAACTGTTTATTGTGATGTCTTTTTAAAATATGATTAATATTATTCTGTTAATATATTCTGTTGTGTACTAACAATACAGATTTTCAATAAACTAATATAAAAATGCCACTTAAAGTAGGTCACTATAATATTTTTTGGGCTTTTTACAACTTCATTTGTAATATGAAAGTATAATTTTCACATGGGATAAAACTTAAAAAAAAATTTTAAATGGGAAGTGTTATTTGCTTTTAGGCAAACTAAATGAAACAGGATTAAAAATGCACTTTAAATGAAAGGACACTGCTGTTTCACTTTTTTAGTGTAATGCATTCATGAGCAATCTGTGGTTCTTCTCTCCACAGGCCTTCGATGACTTCATCTTTGCATTCTTTGCTGTGGAGATGGTGGTTAAAATGGTGGCCTTGGGTATATTTGGTCCGAAATGTTACCTTGGCGACACCTGGAACCGCCTTGACCTCTTTATCGTCATGGCTGGGTGAGTGACAAATCACAAAGCTGAGAGTGCCACGCTCCGAAAATCTAAAACGTCAACTATTAGTGTGCGATTCCTAGAATTTCATGAGTCATTAAACTCTTAACTATTACAATGTCTGTGTATGTGTGTGCGCGCGTGTGTGTATTTGTTTAATGTCAAATCCAGTTTTAATGTCAGGTCAAGTTCTAATGTCAAGTCGATTTGTCACAGCTAAGCTCATGAATGACAGTTACCACCAGGCAAGCGTCTCTGTGTCTGTCTGTATCTTGTCTCTCTTGTCGATTTTCAATAAACTAATATAAAAATGCCACTTAAAGTAGGTCACTATAATATTTTTTGGGCTTTTTACAACTTCATTTGTAATATGAAAGTATAATTTTCACATGGGATAAAACTTAAAAAAAAATTTTAAATGGGAAGTGTTATTTGCTTTTAGGCAAACTAAATGAAACAGGATTAAAAATGCACTTTAAATGAAAGGACACTGCTGTTTCACTTTTTTAGTGTAATGCATTCATGAGCAATCTGTGGTTCTTCTCTCCACAGGCCTTCGATGACTTCATCTTTGCATTCTTTGCTGTGGAGATGGTGGTTAAAATGGTGGCCTTGGGTATATTTGGTCCGAAATGTTACCTTGGCGACACCTGGAACCGCCTTGACCTCTTTATCGTCATGGCTGGGTGAGTGACAAATCACAAAGCTGAGAGTGCCACGCTCCGAAAATCTAAAACGTCAACTATTAGTGTGCGATTCCTAGAATTTCATGAGTCATTAAACTCTTAACTATTACAATGTCTGTGTATGTGTGTGCGCGTGTGTGTATTTGTTTAATGTCAAATCCAGTTTTAATGTCAGGTCAAGTTCTAATGTCAAGTCGATTTGTCACAGCTAAGCTCATGAATGACAGTTACCACCAGGCAAGCGTCTCTGTGTCTGTCTGTATCTTGTCTCTCTTGTCACTTGCGCTGTCATTGACACAGTGATTTGTAGTTATCCTCTTTGTCCAAAAGTCAGCTCAACCTAAAGTGCCTGATCAGTCATTAAAACTCATTAAAACGGTAATGTGCTCTTGTGTGAGTGAGGAAGTAACAAGTTGGTCATTAATTCGGACAAAGGTAACACATTCCTGAACCATTTTGGGATGCTTCAGGCTTCTTTAGTTTAACCAGCTAGTCTTCCTTAGTAAATCTCCTTCATGCTATAATGCTGGTCAGTCAGATGAAAAGTATGCCTATAACAGGACAAAAACAACACTAAGCGGTATAAATAGCATAGACATTCATGTTGGCCTACGCGTCACCTTTTTAGCGGGGTGAACATATAATTCTGAATCAATTTAGTAACATTACATTTTCCCATGCTGCTGTGTTGTGTCATTTAGGGATCATCACACAACATGTGAGTGCAAGAGCAAGAAAGAGACATTTTAACTAGTGCTGTCAAAATAGCGCGTTAACGCATGCGATTAATTTTTTCAGTTTAACACGTTAAAAATATTTCATGCAATTTATGCAGGGGCGGAGCTAGTGTTGGCCACCGCACTCACAACTGCTGCTTCAGTCTCTTTTTTTTTTTACAAGAATTGCGTTTATTTAGACGCAGAACATATTTACGATCACATCAAATGGGAGACTTTTCAAACGCACACTCCAACTTCACCTTAGCACCAGGTGCTAGTCAAATGAGTGCAGAAAAGGTGTAGGTGACGAGGGAGCTTCAGTAGAACAATAGTGAACTGCGGTCAGATGAGATGTTGTAAGGCCAAATGTCAGTAAAAACCAATTTTCCTGTTCTGTCAGCCGTTATACTGTGCTCGTAGCACGTGCTCTTCAAATGCACAGACAAATATGGCGGTGCATGCTGTATTATATTAAAACACTATATCATATTAAAGCGCAAATGAAACTACGAGCATGCATTGTGGTAGTTATTTCGTCAGTTAAATCATGAAGTTGCCAAAAAGGTGATTAAAGCTGCCTTAAAACTGTGCTTGTATGTAAGTGTTTGTTAAATATGAGTCAGATTTAAGAACATGTCTCTGAAATGCAGTGGTTTTCAAAACTGTCCTGGAGCAGCCCAGCACTGTCTCCCTCATCTAACACACCCGATTCAACTCGTCAGCTCATTACTAGAGACTTTAAGAGCTGAAGTGGGTCAGAAAAGGTAAAGAGTTGTGAGAAAATATGATGCGTGTCAGATCTGCGTCATGTTCAGCAGCGGCAGTTCCCTTTCAGTCGGTCACTCCGAGTCACGTCGGTGACCGACGAATTGGGATATCGCTTCGATAGACCAATCTACTTCGAGTGTAAACTAAAC